GCGGCGGCTTCTAGCTTCGCTACGGCGAAGGCGTCCTGGATCGCGGAGAAGCCCGGGGCTCCGGAGGAGTTCTCACCTACATCGTCCACAAGGGACGACTCGGGAACTCAACTCCTATCTCGGGCAGCTCACCTATCCCCCTATGCCCAGGGGAAAGGTATCAAGCCATTTGACAGCTGATGCAAGCTGTCAAAACGGCTTTTACGCAGAAACAGGCGGGAGCAGCAAACAGCTGCGTCCAGCGAAGTCGCCTGCCACCGGAAGTCCTCCAAGATGAAGCCATTGCTTGATCATGACTTTTCTGATCAGCAGCTGCAAACACTTATGGGGAATTTTCTACGATATACCACAGCTCTTTTGCTTTCAGCAAACATTCCATTTTAGCAGCCCATATAATGTAATTCTCCTGGCCTAAACGAGGCACAGAGCTTTCCTTAAATTCCATTGCAGCCATTCTGCTAATTCTGCCTTGTTCTTATACTTTCAACACAGGCAATTTCTTCCAGCTTTAAATTACAATGCAGTCCTTAGTAAGCTCTGGCCCATAACCTGTTAGAGAATTTTAATTTCTCTATTGGTGAAAAATAAATCAGAAGCTCTCACAGTTGACTGCATTTAGTTGATTCAAATAACTCCTTTATATTCATAACAAAATATTTACAATACCATACATTCTTCTTTACAGCATCATAGCACAATAAAGACTTCTTACAGAGAGATACAGAGACAAACCAGAGACTGACTGAAAAACTCAGCTCCTAACTCAATACCTTTTGCACAGACTCAGTAGCACTTTCTTCACATTGGCTGACTGAGTTACCACATGACTCTTCCTGCTCATGAATATTCCAACATCTTCACTCAAAAGCTTTTGATCTATTTTTATCACCTAAACCTTGGAATCCTACCAAGCAGAGCCATTCAACTTAGTGCATATCTTTGCTTTGGGAATTTGTACGTAATGGGATAGACCTTCCAAATCCTCCTTGACCCTGTTCGGTTCTTTGTTTTCCTTGTTCAGGAGGGTCTTGTGTCCTTCGAGGAGGTGGCTGTGTATTTCTCCAAGGAGGAGTGGTCTCAGCTGGATTCTGACCAAAAAGCGCTCCATCGGGAAGTCATGTTGGAAAATTATAGGAATGTGGCCTCTCTGGGTAAGCAAGTTTGCTATTCACCCATCAGATATTTTAGTAATTAAATGCCATCCGCTGTTTCTTATTAGAAGGTCTCCAAAGAGATATTCTCTCTTGGGAAGAAGCAGGAAGAGATCTAGCCTTTTTTTACTCCGAGGAAGTATCTATCTATCTATCTATCTATCTATCTATCTATCTATCTATCTATCTATCTATCTATCTATCTATCTATCTATCTATCATATTCATCCTATCTATCTATCTATCTATCATATTCATTCTATCTATCTATCTATCCATCCATCCATCCATTTATCTATCCATTTATCTTTCATGTTTCTAAGCCGCCGATCTCCCTCAGCATTCTTTAAGCCACCCAGTCACTCTATCTATCTATCTATCTATCTATCTATCTATCTATCTATCTATCTATCTATCTATCTATCATATTCATCCTATCTATCTATCTATCTATCTATCTATCTATCATATTCATTCTATCTATCTATCTATCCATCCATCCATCCATTTATCTATCCATTTATCTTTCATGTTTCTAAGCCGCCGATCTCCCTCAGCATTCTTTAAGCCACCCAGTCACTCTATCTATCTATCTATCTATCTATCTATCTATCTATCTATCTATCTATCTATCTATCTATCTATCTATCTATCTATCTATCATATTCATCCTATCTATCTATCTATCTATCTATTTATCTTTCATGTTTCTAGGCCATCCATCTCCCTCAGCATTCTTTAAGCCACCCAGAGTCACCCTATTGGGAAGATGGTGTGAGGCACATAAATTTAATAAATTAATAAACTACTAAGCAAACATTTCAGTGCATAAAAATATTGAATATCTATCTATGGATCAATGGTGCTCTGCTTAGATGGAGCCTGTGCCAATTCTCAGTTGTCAGAGCAGGAACATCCAATGTTAGTATCGTTGACATACTAAGTGAGAGGGTTGTTAAATGAGTTTTTGCTCATTTTACGATCTTTCTTCACACAGTTGTTAAGGGAAACACTTGTCAACATCCAGCTCGAGGATCCAAATAAAAATCCCGGTTCATTCCGTTTCCGAAAATGTTACTGTTATATTGAATACACGGCATGGTAATGTTGAAGCAAAAGTAACTCTGAGGTTCCCAGACACCAGTTCATAGAATTAAACAATAATCTCTCCAACTAAACCCTTGCCCTTTTTCCCTCCCTTCCTCCCTCCCTCTCTCCCTCCCCCTCTCCCTCCCTCCCTCTCCCTCCCTCTCTCTTTCTCCCTCCCTCCCCCTCTCTCTTTCTCTCTTTCTCTCTGTCTCTCTCTTTTCCTCTCCCTGCAGCCATGTGATTTTGGGATCAGAAAAATGAAGAGTAAATGGGAAATATTTGGGGGCAGGAACAAAATGGACAAGTTTCAAATTGGATTTATTTCTCGCGGGTCTCTGTTGGTTATTGACCCCCTCCCGCAATTTCCAATAAATGTTAGATCTTCTCCTAAAACCTCCCTGAATATTTCCTCTGATACTTCCTTAACTGCTCTTTATGGTGAATGATTTTTCCATCTGTAATGATGGCATTTGAAAGTCCTAATGGTATCACAGGGATTTGGCTGTTAGAGAATTGGGCCATCTGATGGGCCAGGTTCTCAAGTAATGAGACCTTCCACTCGGGATTCTTCCCACCTCCCACCCCAAATTTTCTCCAAGGCTTCCTTTTGTAAGTTCTGCCCAGAAAATGCAGGGACATCTAAGGATGAATGAACATACCCCGTCTGAGTACTATTTTTTTCAGTGCAGGACTCCCTCTTTGAAATGAGTTCCCAGGTTCAAATCCACCAGCATGTCCAGACTGAAATTAAACCAATGGGTTCCCCATCATCAAGCCCATTATTATGCTTGCTTCCTTGGAACTGAATCTAGAGCAGTAGACCGGATGGAGCCCCACCACAAAAGTCTAAATCAGAGGTCCCCAACTTTTCTGGGTTGGCGGCCCGGAAGGAAAGGGAGGGGCAGGTGTGCGAATGGGGCTGCGTGGATGAAAAACATGCACAGCAATGCTAAGGTCCGTGTGATGCTGGCGACGATGTTAGCACCCACACGACACTTATGGCAATGCTAAGGCCCGTGCAATGCTCATGGCGATATTAGCGCCCATGCTACACGGCGACGTTAAGACCCACGTGACGCTCACAGTGACGCTAGCACCCGCATAACACTCATGGCAACACTAGCGCCCCAGCAACACTCATGGCGACGCTAACATGAATGGGAGGGTGACTGCGCGCACACACACACACACACACGCACACTGGCAAGCCACTCACATGGCCCGGTTGGCCAACAGACATGACCCGGTAGTGAGTTGCAGCCCACAGGTTGGGGACCTCTAGTCTACGTGATCTTAATAAGGGAGAATATTTGCAGCTCATGGTTGAAATGAGGGATCCTTGGTGTTTTCTGAGCTTGGTTGTTTTCTTGCAGACGTTTCCTTACCCAGAACTCTTGAAACAGGCATTGTCTCAAAAGGAACTTTTATTAGGGGCTAGTGATAGCAGGGAAAACAAGGTGAGGTCTGGGGAAAAACCCGTGGAAGCGATATAATAAAAGCATTATTCAATATTCCTCCCCCCAGAGTCCCAGTATTCATTTGAATTCCAGTCAATCCACAAATGGAATAGTGTTGATCACTGGGTTCTTTGGCTCGTTCTTTCAAGGTCTCCCTCACTTTCATTTCCTTGTGGTTCCAAGTGCAACCATCTCTCAGAAAAGGGTGATACATTCCATCCCCTGGGGGAAGGGCACAATAGCCGGACAGTGCAAAGTATCCCCAAGACATTCCCCCCTCCCAACAGAATGGCAGGCCACAAAGAAAAGTTACAAATTCAGGAATAGGCATAAGGAAACAATAATATTCTCTGGGGACCTGACACCAGTACCAGGCATCGCCCCATGTTTTGAATATACCCTGATAGACACACGCAGAAGAATCACAAAAAAAGATAAAAGGAAGAAGATTTGAGAGGGTGGGGTTATAATTTTGATTAATGTTCAAACAAGAGATGCAACAATGAGGAGGCCTGATTCTGTTTGCACCTCACTTTATGTCAGTTATGACAAACCTTTTAGAGACTGAGTGCCCAATAACTGCTGCCGCCCGCCCATCTGCCCCGCCCCCCCCACCGGCCCCTTCGCCTACCTGCAGGGCCACCCACTGCAGATCACCCAGATGGCCCAAAAGCACAATGGCAGCCACACTCTCCACCCGCACCCCGTAACATCAACTGCACGTGACGCGGTGAGAGGTCGTAGTCTTGTCCCCGCTGCCCGGCTGCCATGTCTTTGGCTGCTCTGCTCTGTGTAGGCTGCGCTCAGGGGTGTCTCTCCTCTGGGGGGGCTGCTGACGAGGGGGCCGCCGGGGGAGGAGGGGCTGGGACGACGGCACATGTGCCCACAGAGAGGGCTCTGAGTGCCACCTCTGGCATGCGTGCCATAGGTTCGCCACCACTGCTTTATGTCAACTTTTCTGCTCCAAGCAGGTGGTGAATGGAAGATGAAGGATTCTGGCCAAGAATCAGCAGCACCATTGCAAAAAGGCAGAATGAAGCACATACGGACATTTTTTGGAAAGCAAAGTTCTCAGGAAAAACAATTAAAAGGGAAGCTAGAGAAATGCTCTACTTTACAACATGTAGCTGTCAGTGACTTCTCGGGCAAAGATGATCAGCCAGAAAAAGAGACTTGGCCAGAGTGTGGAAAAATACCCGCACACGAATCAGGATTATACGACTGTTGCAGAAGCCACACGATAGAGAAACAAAATGAATGTGGAAAACGTTTCCGAAGGACCTTTTCGGTTACTTTGCCTCAGAGAATACAAGGAGAGAAACCATATAAATGCCTGGATTGCGGAAAAAGCTTCAGAGACTCAAATTATCTTACTTCCCATAAAAGGATCCACACAGGAGAAAAACCGTACAAATGCAGGGTATGCGGAAAGGGCTTCGATTTTCCACAAAGTCTCACTTCCCATTTTAGGAGTCACACAGGCGAGAAACCATATGAATGCATCAAGTGTGGAAAGACCTTCAGTAAAAAATATCAGTATAAAGTTCATAACCAAAAACACACTGGAAAGAAACCATATAAATGTACAGAATGTGGAAAACGCTTCACTTATTCAAGTCACCTCACTTACCATAAAAGAATCCACACCGGAGAAAAACCGTATGAATGCAAGGAATGCGGAAAGAGCTTTCGTTGTGCAATACACCTTACTTACCATACAAGGATTCATACAGGGGAGAAACCATATAAATGCCAAGAGTGTGGAAAGAGCTTCAGAATGTCAAGTTTTCTTGCTACTCACAAAATGATCCACACCAGAGAGAAACCCTACAAATGCAAGAACTGTGCAAAAAGCTTCAGACAAAAAGGTCAGTATATTATACATAACAGAATCCACACTGGGGAGAAACCGTATAAATGCTCGGAGTGTGGAAAACACTACACTACTTCAAGTCACCTCAGTAACCATAAAAGAATCCACACCGGGGAAAAACCATATAAATGCCCGGAGTGTGGAAAGGGCTTCAGAGTTTCAAGTTATCTTACTGCTCACAAAATGATCCACACCGGGGAGAAACCCTACAAATGCAAGAACTGTGCAAAAAGCTTCAGAGTAAAACGTGAATATATTGTACATAATAGAATCCACACTGGAGAGAAACCACATAAATGCCCAGAGTGTGGAAAGGGCTTCAGAATTTCACGTTCTCTTGCTGATCACAAAATGATCCACACCAGAGAGAAACCCTACAAATGCAAGAACTGTGCAAAAAGCTTCAGACAAAAAGGTCAGTATATTATACATAACAGAATCCACACTGGGGAGAAACCGTATAAATGCTCAGAATGTGGAAAATGCTACACTACTTCAACTCAACTCAATTACCATAAAAGAATCCACACCGGGGAAACACCATATAAATGCCCGGAGTGTGGAAAGGGCTTCACAACTTCAGGTTCTCTTACTGGTCATAAAACGATCCACACCGGGGAGAAACCCTACAAATGCAAGAACTGTGAAAAAAGCTTCAGACTAAAGGGTCACTATATTGTACATAACAGAATCCACACTGGGGAGAAACCATATAAATGCTCGGAGTGTGGGCAATGTTTCACTTCGTCAAGTTCCCTCATTTCCCATCAATCGACCCACACTAGGAAAAATCATAAATTTGTCTGATGTGTGGAAAGGGGTGAACTCAACATCAGTCCCTTTATGAGCACAGAAAAGAACCGTATAAACAAATTATCAGAAATTTGGGACTCTTGAGCTATTTATTACTGTGGAGAAATGAAATGTTAGGGAATGAAGGGAAGATAAGAAGAAACGACGATTCTGAAGAGAGTGGAAAAAAATAACTACAATTGGTTTTTTTGAATAATGTTGAGCGTTCATCCATACAGAGCCCCGAATATACTCTTTCTTGGAAGACCCACTTTGGGCCCTTCGCTTTTTGCATCTCTCAATTTATTGGCCACTAGAAGCATCTAACATAGTTGCATAACAATGACTCTGGCCTTTGACTTTGCTGTTTTTGCCCCGTAATTTACATCTCCATCGTTGAACATTAATTACAAGGGTAATGTAAGGACCCACCTCACTTTACATCTGGGTGCCCAGCTCTGTTCCTCTTCGCTTGCGTACAGGGATTTCCTCATCTCCTGCTTCCATTCTGGTTGGTTGGCCCCCCCGTCTCAGGGTCACCTTTCTTGATTTCTTTACCCACTCGCCTTTCTTTCCAACGCCCATTGACCACCAAGGTTTGTGGTTACGTTTCTCCACCACCTCTTCTCCTGAGGAATCTGACCTCTCAGATCCCGACATCTGGCAGGTTTTCAGTCAGGGCAGTGGCTCCCTCTCCGGGGGGTTTTCTCCCTTCTCTGCTCCATCGTCTCACATGGTAATTTTTGCGAAGTCTTCCGGCAAGGTTCTCCCTTCCAGGTGGACTAATTTTGCAGATCCTGTCTAATGTAAGGACCACCTCACTTTACATCTTAAGAAGACAGAACTCTTGGAATATCTCTTCCAACAGGCATCTTTATTAAGAGAAAATGATTGCAGGCGTTCTAGACAGGATCTGAGGGATCAACCCCTACCATTCAATATTTTAAGTGTTCCCAAGCAGCCCCCACCCCACAGTTCTTCCGGCGATAATCACTCATCCTCTCTTTTCCCAGATCCCAGGTATTCTGGATCGTGTAACCCTGTGTAACCTTGACTAGAGCATGTAGGTTTGTAAGTTAGAATGTTTGGCATTTATTGGGTTAAGTGCTGTCTCCTTAAGAGATGGCTTATGGGTAATGTAGTTTAGTTAGTCAGCTATCCCATGTTAATAGGTCAGTAGTGGGAGGAAAAGAGGAGCCACTAAAGTTCATCACAGGATATCCTGGCCATGAGCCAGTTTGGAATGTTCTTTGTCTGAGATAAGCATGGGGCCATTGGATGACTCAGATGGAACCACTCCACGTAAGAAGTTGATGTGGAGAAACTAATGAATTTATCTAATGAAGATGAATATATTGCAATATCCAGACAGAATCTACAAATAGCAAGTATTGTTTTCTGACTGAATAAATTATCTGTTTTGGAATCATCTTTATTTGAGTTTATCTGCCTATTGCATCTCATTTTAAGAATCTCCTGCATGTAAAATCTGTGTTTCTAAAGAACAGAGGAGCATTGGGCAGCTACCCCCCTTTCTTTGCCGGCAATTCAAACAGCTTGAATGTGTGTGAGACCAAGCCCGTTTGCTTGGAAAGCCAAGGGGAGAGATTGGAATGCAACCTAGCCTCACTTCGCATTTGAAAGAAAGAGAAAGGAAATTTTTTTTTAGTTGCGAGAAACTTTACTTAAAGGTTCTTCCGAACTCCCTCCTTTCTGTCGCCAGAAGCCAGAGGCAGGCAATTAACTCTTAAAAGGGGAAGAACACAGAGCGTTCCCCTTGTGCAAAGGATTTCAAATCACATTTTCTTTGTCTGCATGTTGCCTGGAATTCCACACCCCAGAAGGGGCCCCAGCACAACCAGCCACCAATAAAGTAATTTTCCTTTTCAACTAACTCAACATTAGTGAGAGAAGTCTAAATTACCCCCTCCCCTTGGAATTCCAACTATGTTAATGGAAAGAGAAGGTTTTCAGAGGCTCCAATAGCAGTGCAGTAGCATCCCCTGGTGACTAATCTGCACACAACACTTATTCAGCAATTTTATCCTTGCTGAAGGAAAGGCACCCCCCCTCTGGTAACCGCATCAACCCAAGTTAAGAGCACCCCCTAGAGGTGAATGCAATTTTCTAACTATGCAGAGTGAATCTCATAGTTAAAGAGCAAGTCCCTGAATTCATCCAAAGCTACCAACACCCCCTAGAGGGCACAGAGTGAACTTCACCCAAAGTAATCATGCAAGCAGTCACCTCTAGTGGTGATTATGCTGAGGGCAAATTAAGGAGAAGAAAAGGCAGCAATTAACCTTGCTTATTATCACAAAGCTGACGACCTAGTGGAGATTATCCCAAGCAGTCCCCAGCTTGCAACTTAACGACCACGGTGGGAGTTACGGGAGCTAGTAGAGCTCAGTAATTTCCCAGGTGGCCACTAAGGGTAACGTGGTAGTAAAGAAAAATTTTGGCTGGCCTCTCTCCAAACGCCCCCTCGTGGTTAAAGGAGGAACTACACGCAAGCCTTTAATCACGCACAGAGAAAGCCCTCTAGTGGACAAAGGGTGAACCTCGTAGGAAGAGCACCCTGGTGACTAACCTGCAAGCAGTGATCCCTAGTGGTGAGAGGGTGAATTGTGCTGAAGTACCCACGCACACAGGAGAGTGCACCCAGTGGTGCCTCCAACCACAGATAGCACCCCAGTAGCTGATCTGCAAGTAGCGATCCCTAGTGGCCAAAGAGAGAAGTTCATCAAATTTGCTTCAAAAATAGGTAGGAAGTTTATTGAACCTGTCCTAACCATGGCAGAGTGTCCCATTGATTTAGAAGAAGGGGTTCAACCAACCAGCCTAGATGAGACACCCCAACCAGTCGGTCAAGGAGAAATGCTGCAAACAGCCAACCTTGACCTGTACACAGAGGCTGATGCTCAAGCCTCAGTAAGGCCAAAGATGTCTCAGGGTCCCTATGACCTGAGGCACCAAAGAAAACCTACAGAAGCCATGCACTACAAGCGCCATGAAAGACACTGGGAGAAATTACTCAAACTCTACCAAGGGCCTAAGGAGGAGCTCTTTCCTGAAAGTGCGGGCCAACTGGAAGAAGATAAGGTAAACACCTCCGCGCAATGGATGGGCTCTGAGCGGCAACTCGAAGACATTCAGGCACAATTAGGAGAGCCAACAGTCGATAGCAAGATGCAAAGCCTCAAGCTAAAAAACATGGAGCGCAACAAGTTTCTAGAGAGCCCATAACGCCTCCTGGAGTCCGAGCCTCGCCCGAGAGATAGACCAGTCGAGAGGGCCAGGTCCAAAACTTCCCGCCATTCGCATGCACCATCCCAGCGATCACATGTGGCTCCATCTCACACCTCTGGAAAAGCCTCACCCTTTTGCCACAACTCACCACGAGCCCGGGCATATTCCAGCGTGTCACAATAATCTCACGTTACAGGCGCCTCCCGCCATTCAAAAGCGTCTTCTCGTCAGAGCCAAGCATCCCGAGCCTCAAGGGCAGAGAGCCTTGCCACCCAATTCACACAAGCGCGAATCGCCATTGCAATAGCTGACGCCGCGGCACAAGCAGCAGTAGAAGACAAGCAGCAAAGAGAAGAATTGGCAAAAGCAGAGACTGCAGCAGCTCTACGTGTAGCAGAGGCAGAGCGACAGCAGAGGGAAGAAGTGGCCAAAGTGCAAGCTGCAGCAGCCCTTCGCATGGTAGAGGCACAGCATCTACAAAGGGAAGACATGGTCAAAGCTCAAGCCAACTTTGAGATTTCCCAGCGCCGACAGAAAGCAAAAGAGGCAGTCGCAAGAGCAGCAGCCCTGCAGAGAGAGCTGGAAGATGCTACATCTACACATGGGTTGGAAAGGCTAGGAAGGGAAAGCCCTCATAGCCATGTGCAGGCCTACGTGGACAACCAAAGCGCGTTGCAACATGAACAAATGAGAGTACCACAGCTATCCACAAGCCCCCCAAGATTGAGTAGACGAAGAGAAGAATCTCAACGGCCAGATGTGCCGGTCAGCCAGAGAGTTGACGTCGCGACATCTAGGTCACAAGATCTTCCCATCGTTGCTGCCCCATTGAACCCACCGAACCATACCACTGATGGCAACCGGATGGGTCCACCTGCAGCGGCAACGGTTACACAGCAGGAAGTGCAACGGCTCCGAGATGAGCTCGCCAGAAAGGAGTCAACATTGAGACAACAGGAGGCAGCATCCCAAGGAACCGTTACCAGACCTGACCACAGAAGAGAATCTCGACCACCAGCTGTGCCAGCCTACCAGGGAGCCAGCTATGCACCATCCGAAAGATGAGAAACCCTCCAACAAGTAAGCACGCAAGAAGTCAGGTCCCCTCAGCTCAACGCCAGAGCAGAGAAATTCAGACCAAGCCAACAAGGTCCCTCGCACGTGACATGGCAAGATACCCTGAGCGGACAACACGCTGAAGAAAGTTACCAGCCAGACATGGCGCACGCCCCCGCTCCCGGAAACAGTGCACCACCTCCGCCAGACTATAGCCCATACACAGGATCAATGTATCCTCCAACACTCGGTGGAAGAAAGTCGGACATGGCATCCACAGGCGTGCGAAAATTCTCTGACAAACCAGGGAAGGACTATTTAATGTGGAAGCATCTTTTCAAGCAAGCCCTCCACAGAGAGAGGTTACATTCTGGGGAAGAACTCGGACTTATGTCGCAATGGCTAGGTCCCGAATCCTCAAAAGCAGTGGAAGCGATCCTCTCATCACGTTTAACTGACCTACCCACCGCCCTTCAATGAGCCTGGGAAACGCTCGACAAGCGATATTGGGCACCTTCTTTGACACAGGCCTTATTCCTACAGGAGCTCTATGATTTCCCTAACATCAATATCAATGATCCTAGTCAGATTTGGAGATTCTCCATCTTACTAGAAGAGCTCCAGGCAGCACAAGAAAGTGGCACCATGCCTGGACTTGCTCCCCTTGAGCAGTTTGACACACAGAACATTATCACTCAAAAACTACCAAGACAATTGAAAGATAAATGGTTTGATATGACCCAGTCCCACAGGAAACAGTACCCCAGCAAACCTCCACCCTTTGCTGCTCTTGCAGATTTTGTTTCTGATCAATCAGATATGTACAATGACCCCAATTACCTTGACGTCCATGAAACATGTTTCACAATGCCAAAACGGACCAATCACAATTTTGGTACTAATAGAAGTTCCTTCCAAGCCACAAAGGACAGAACTCCTATTTCAGTGTACAAAACAGAGATCATGACCCGGCCAAAGAAGACTTCAGATGAACAAATACCGAGGAGTACTCGTTCGAAACCTCGCCCACCAAGGAAAGGCCTGACTTGTCCAATTCATAAATCTTCACACTCTCTAAACAATTGCAGAGAATTTGGGAAAAAATCCCTGGATGATCGAAAGGCCCTACTCAAAGAACAAAGGATATGCTTCAAATGCTGTGACTCTATAGATCACATGGCCAAAGATCGCGTAATCAGGGTGAAATGCCACCTGTGTAACAGTGACAAGCACCCGGCAGCCTTGCATTTAGAATCTAAGAAACCCTCTGAGGAGACACAACAAGCGTCTTCGACCTATCCTACGACGACGAAGACTCAACGTGACTTCAAAGAACACCTAGATACGTACGGGACGTACTACACAGATATATGTGGCGACTCACCGCACCCTCCTTCATGCTCACCTGTCTGGCAAAAGTCTACCCCAACGGACAACCTGAAAGGGCTGTAAAGATGTACGCCATACTAGATGCACACAGCAAGGTGACTATAGCTAAGCCCGCCTTTTTCGGCCTCTTCGACCTCCTGAGTGAATTAAAGCATTTCGCAATAAATACATGCACAGTACCAATGCGCACGGCGGGGAGGAAAATCTTTATCGATTCTATGCATAGAATCGATAGACGGGAGTTCACATTTCCTGTTACCATCAGTGTTAGAATGGGAGACCTTACCAGATGTTCGCAGTGAAATTTCAACACCTGAGGCAGCAAGAAAAATACCTCACTTAGCGCACATAGCCGATTTAATCCCTCCTCTAGATCCTGAAGCCGAAATCCTACTCATGGTGAGATGAGACGCCCCAGAGTCCATTGGTTCCGATGAAAGAATCAAAGGTCCACCAGGAACCCCAGGAGCTATTAAGACAGAACTCGGTTGGGCCATAGGAGGGACAGTTTGTGTTGATCAACCGCAAGCCCCAACCCAGGTGAACATCTCAAAAACCTCCATTACCAGTAATGGAGGAGCATCTCACCTAAAACCACACCTAGAACACTGCATGCTTGTGACAACCAAACCTGTCTTGGAAGCAATAGTGTTCCAGACCAGTGAGAATTACAACAACTTAGCCTTGTCCAAAGAGGACAAACAATGTCTGCAGCTATGCGCGTTCTCCCTGAGCACCACACATTGGGATGAGCCGCGTCTACCAGAACAGAAACAAGATTGGGAGTCGTGGAGTGTACTCCCAAGATGTCTCCAGTGTATGCAAGTGCAGCGCACGTATGTCTCTAGCTCACCTGCCACCGTACAAAGGAAAGAATTGTACGCTTCCTCAGATGTGTCAACGAAGGTAAATGCAGCCTTAAGATACGTCACAGTCTACAGCGGGGAGAGCCATACTTACGTCATTTTGATTGCAACCATAAGATACACCAGAGTCCACAACGGGGAGAGCTGCAGTCTCGGTGTCTTCTTTGGAAAAGCGAGACTAACAATACAACAAGGCCACACCGTACCAAGGTTAGAACTATGTGGTATCATTTTAACTGTAAAGCTCACCAACTTGACAGCGAAGACGTTGTGCTTTGAACTACTGTCTACCACCTTCTACGCAGACAGCAAGGTGATGTCAAGCTACATCTGCAAACAAAGCAGACACTTCTACGTCTATGTAAGCAGAAAAGATTGAAACATCTTTAAGCCCTGAACAATGGCAACATGTGCCAACAGATAAGAACCTTGTGAATCAGGTTAAGTGGCCCAACCTCGCCACACAGTTAACAGAATTGATCTGGCTAGAAAGTCCTGAGTTCTTGGCTTGTCCAAACAGCCAGATGCCACAGAGACCACAACGCTATATGCTTCCAGCTCCAGATCGACATACCAACGTTCAACCTCAGGTACCCAGTAAACTTCAACCAATCTGCTTCAAACCCTCCTCTAAGCAGAGATACCTGAGATTGGGCATAGTTTTGATCGTCTTGATCACTTGTCTTAGCATCCCAAGAATTAACCTTGTAGGAGCCTGCAAGGACGTACAGACTATTGAAGATATTTGCCATGATCCAGTGATTGACAAATGTCTGAAGGCCAAAAATCACCTTCCCCATGCATCTCACATGGGCGAAGCGTGGGAGCACATGATTGGCGTACCCTGCAAAATCATGGACTCTATGTTGTCAAAGACACCCACGCCCACACATGAAGTCTTCACCACCCTCATGACAACAGTAGCAGCCATTTTCAATGCTCCATCAATGGTTCCAGACCCTTCAGTTCCTGAGTCTTCTGTTCCTGTTGTTCCTGATTCTTCAGCTCCTGCTGATGTTCCTGATTCTCCAGCTCCTGTTGTTCCTGATTCTTCAGCTCTTGCTGATGTTCCTGATTCTCCAGCTCCTGTTGTTCCTGATTCTCCAGCTCCTGCTGATGTTCCTGATTCTCCAGCTCCTGCTGTTCCTGATTCTCCAGCTCCTGCTGATGTTCCTGATTCTCCAGCTCCTGCTGTTCCTGTTTTTCCAGCTCCTGCCATTTCTGAGTTTTCTGTGCTTCCAGGTTCTTCGGTTCCTGAGCATCATGTGGATCCAGGTTCCTTCATTCCTGAGAAATTTTGGGTTCCAATTTTTCTGTTCCAGATTTGGTTCCAGTTTCTTTTACAGGAAGAAGACCTTGTTTTGCTGAGAGACAAGAACGCATACCAAAACTATTGGCCCATGGGACTTGTGCACCGGGCCCCACTCAGTTTTGATGAACTAGTTCGCCAAGCTGAGGTCCAGATTGTGAAGCCACGTGAGCCAGACCGTGACTCAAAGACTCTTGTACCAGGCTGAGCACCGATTTGGTCCCGTTGCTGAAGAAGATCGAACTAGAAGATTGAACCTCAAACTATGTATTTTGTATATGCATTGTTTGATGTAACACTTGCTTATTTCTGTTATATTTGATACCATGTTTTTACCTATTTAGTCACAAGTTAGTTAACAATGAGAATTGCATGCTTTAATGCTATGTTTTTTGCTTATTTCAGTTAGTTAGTAGTGGAAATTCAAATTTCCAAGCGGGGAATATTCTGGATCGTGTAACCCTGTGTAACCCTGACTAGAGCATGTAGGTCTGTAAGAATGTTTGGCATTTATTGGGTTAAGTACTGTCTCCTTAAGAGATGGCTTATGGGTAATGTAGTTTAGTTAGTCAGCTATCCCATGTTAATAGGTCAGTAGTGAGAGGAAAGGAGGAGCCACTAAAGTTCATCACAGGATATCCTGGCCATGAGCCAGTTTGGAATGTTCTTTGTCTGAGATAAGCATGGGGCCATTGGATGACTCAGATGGAACCACGTAAGAAGTTGATGTGGAGAAACTAATGAAGATCTAATGAAGATGAACAGATTGCAATTCACTAATTATCTAATGAAGATGAACAGATTGCAATATCCAGATGGAATCTACAAATAGCAAGTATTGTTTTCTGACTGAATAAATTATCTGTTTTGGAATCATCTTTATTTGAGTTTATTTGTCTGTGATTGGATTATAAAGGCATTTTGATTCATGATCAGAACACCAGGCGTTGCATTGTTCCATCCCTTTTCCCTCACTGCCGGCAAAAGGGAGACTTCAGAGAGAGAGTAGATGAAAAGCGATGGCCATATTGTTATAGTCAGTCCTCTTGATAAGAATCAAAATCCAGTCCTTTGTAGTTTAAATGAAGGAAGTGAGAGTCATAAAACCCCCTTGCTTCCTCCTCCCCTTTCGTAGTATGACAGAATCCAGAGAGAGTAAAAAATGGGTTTTTTTTTCAGAGTAGGTAGCTAGAAATGAAATATAATTGGATTCTGACAGATGGTCAACACTTTCATTTCTGCAATAGTGGTGAATATCTGTAGCTCGGGTGTAGGATGAGGGTGAAGGTTTGTTTTCCAAGCTCGTGGGTTGGTTTCCGAACATTTTGTTACCAGGCTAGGTAACATCTTTAGCGGAGTTTAGAGGATGTCAGGATTAAGTGTTTATAAGGGCTTCAGATGTGGGTGTGTCAAGAGAGGGTCAGAGAAGAGCAACTAAGATGATCAAAGGACTGGAGACTAAAACATATGAAGAAGGGTTGCGGGACTTGGGTTTTGCTAGTCTAAAGAAAAGCAATAGGGGAGACATGATAGCAATATTCCAGTATTTGAGAGGCTGCCACAAAGAAGAGTGGATCAAATTATTTTCCAAAGGCAGGACAAGAAACAATGGTTGGAAGAGGCAGGACAAGAAACTGGTTGGAAACTGATCAAAGAGAGAAGCAACCTGGAATTAAGGAAAAAGTTCCTAACAGTGTGAACAATTAACCAGTGGAACAGCTTGCCTTCAGAAATCGTGAGCACTCCATCACTGAAGGTTTTTAAGAAGAAACTGGACAGTCACTTGTCTCAGAGGGTATAGATTCTCCTGCTTGAATGGGGAGGCTGGGCTAGAAGACCTCCAAAGTCCCCTCCAGATTCTATTCTATTCTGTTCCATTCCATTCTACTCTACTCTAGTCTTGTGATGGGTCTTATGATGGGTCAGGTGTGAGTCATCAGTGAGAGGCTTCTGATGGGTCTTGTGATGGGAAGCAATTCCATCAATAGGCACATTGACCTACAACCAACCTATGAACTCCTCAGAATCCAGATCAACCACACAGCCAACCGGAGAGAGCACCGACCTTCAACCAACCCATGTAAGACCCCCAGACGTTCACCTCCCAATGACCCTGATCTGATGTAACCTCCCCATCTCAAAGCCCATCACAAGACCCTCTCTTGACACACCCACACCTGAAGCCCTTATAAACAAGAACACTTTACACTGACATCCTCTATACTCAGCTGAAGATGTTACCTAGCCTGGTAATGAAATGTTCAGAAACCAACCCACAAGCTGAGAGAAAGCTTCACCCTCACTTTCAGTTCTCTTTTATTTAGTCTTCTGGCTTCCTCGACTCTTGGGATGATAAAAAAAATACCATGCCAGGTTTAAGCCACGGATGGGCAATCTCAGCTTTGCTGTCATCCTGCAATTTCTTCAATAAAGGTCTCTTTTGATTTTCATTCTTTTAAGGACTAGTCTCCAGAATTGTTTTTATATAAACTTTCAGTCTCGTAGCTTAATTCTTCCTTTTTTAAATGCACTTTTTACCTATGCAGCACAGGACAGAAATCCGGATAATATTCCAGAGTTACAATGTCCAAGATCAAAGATTTTCTTCCTTATATCCCGAGTAATTTTCCCCACCTAATGATAGAACAATTATTGAATCGGGGGTTTGGGTTGAAGTCCAGCCACATAGGTCTTTAGGAATTCCATCCAACACATAGATTCTCTAATTTAGAAGGGGGTTTGAACCATTAGGGATTGATCCAGTGTAAGTTTTTCTCGGAAGAGAAATCATCTTGTGATGAAAGTTGGCTGATTGCTTGGCTCAGCTGGCCATGGTGCCAAGGAAATCCCTCTCTTTAAAAAGGCATCAGAACTGGAGCTGAATACCCACTCCTGTTTTTCCTACAACAAACTGCCTGAGAGTGGTTTACCAAAAGAGAAGGACAGGCCAAAAGTCACCCAGCTGACTTCCATGCCTAAGGGCAGAGTTTCCCAACCTTTCAGCATTGACGGGCTGGAATGGGTGTGAGGGGACGGTTTTGTGGTGGGGGTGTTAGCCCATGTGCTCATGCATGAACACCCGCAATGTTTGCAGTGCTGCTCACGTGAGTGGAGCCATGTACGCTCATGACACTCGCACGACTGGGTCAGCTAATGCACAAGTAGGGCCGCAAATGCCCACAATGCTCAAACAAATGCAGCCACAAATGCCCAGGATGACGCTCACAGGAGTGGGGCTACAAATGCCCATGGCAAGGCTCACATGGGTGGGGCCGTAAACATCCACGACACTCTCAACACTGGTCACGGCGACTGGGGCTGTGTGAGAGCATGAAATAGGGTTGGGTCTCCATGATGTGTATGTGTGTTGGGGGAGGGGTTGGACCAGATGACCTACAAGGTCCCTTCCAACTCTGTTATTCTATGTCTTATTCTATGTTTCGTCCCTTTGTAACAGCCTCTATTAAGAAAGAGAAAAGAAAGGAGGGCAAGAAGACGCTTTTAGAGAGGACATGACAGCCTCTCACGGAAATTGCAGCCTTTCTCCTCTCTTTGCCTTGAGCACCTGCGTTGCACAAGGCATCCACCAGGGGGCTCCCTCTGCCAAGCGAAGGGAACACAGGGCGCTTCACCATGGAGCGGCTGGAGGACGAAGGCCACAGCTGGCTTTCCGGAGGAGGAGGAGGAGCAGGAGAGAATGACGTCACAGAGCTTTGCCTCTCTAGGACGCTGCACTCTCCATCACCCTCTGAGCTTTGCTGCAGGTAAAAGAGAAAAAAAGGCGGGGGGAATGTCTTGCAGGGGAGGCAGCCAGATGTGGCCCTAAGGGAGGAGAAGGGGGGGAGGGTCTCTCTTCCCATGCAAAGGGAGGCGGAGGGTCCTCATCCTGGAGGAGGGAGGGACACATGCCAAGTCCTCATCCAAGTTCAGTCTTCTGAGTCCCAAGAGTGGGAGAGACCAAATCCCATGTTCCCCTGCTGTCCCCCCCCCTTTCCATGCACACAACAGGCGCGCGGGTGGGGGGGGAAGCAGAGGACCAGACCAGCCTTGTTGCCCCCTCCTCGACGGAACTCAGGATTCCCAGGAAAGAGGTGGGGACTGGGGAAGTCCTTCCCGCCTGGTTTTCTGGGAACAGCTGGGGGGGGGGAAGGCAGGAGAAGAGGGAAGATCTCAAGCAAGAGATAAGAAAAGCCTTGCAAGACGGGAGATGCCCCAGATGGGTCCGGATTCGCACTAGGTGCTGGATGAGGCTCAAAAGAGAGCCAAATCCTTCACAATGGAACCTGTCTTGGGAGGGGGAGTGAAGCAGGACAGTATCTCCAGACCCTGTTTGGGGGGGGGGGACTTGGCTCCTACTGTTGACTGACCCTTTTGGGCTTCAGGGCATGTTGTGTGGACATGCCTGCCTGTAAGAGTCTGGATTGGCGCTCCAAAAGTCAGTCTTGAACAAGGGTAATGGAGCATCTTAAGCCAGGGTCATGTTCTTGCATTTCATTTGAGGTGAACAGAGATTTTCTGGTTGGCTAATTTGTTTGGAGTGTTGACATGTTGCGTGAACCCGCTTGGAGGTGAATGTAGGTTTAGTTTTTAAAAAGCAAGACCTTACTTGTGAAAAATAATCAAGAAATAGAAAATGCTCCAAATACATTAATTCAGCAAGAATAGAATAGAATAGAATAGAACAGAATAGAATAGAATAGAATAGAATAGAATAATAGAGTTGGAAGGGACCTTGCAGGTCTTCTAGTCCAACCTCTTGCTCAGGCAGGAAACCCTATACCATTTCAGACAAATGATTGTCCAGTCTCTTCTTAAAATCTTCTACTGTTGGAGCATTCACAACTTCTGGAGGCAAGTCGTTCCATTGATTAATTGTTCTAACTGTGAGGAAATTTCTCCTTAGTTCTAGGTTGCTTCTGTCCTTGATTAGATTTGGGTTAGATTAGAAGACCTCCAAGGTCCCCTCCAACTCTATTATTCGGTTTTGTTCTGAATTTATTTTATTTTCTATCTTAGAAACACAAACTGGAAGCCATTTGTACTCATCATATAATTTTATAGATAAAAGTATCTCTCGGCTAAAGAGGGCTGAACGTCTAACTATCACCACAGCTGCAACAAGAGAAACAGTCCTTTAAAGAAACGTTTCTTGGAGATTCACATAAGAGTCCTTGGACCCATTTGGGGTTGCGTTACAGAACAGAGAAAGAATGGAGACCCAACCTTTAGGAAGTGAGGGAACTGGAAAAGGCCTTTCAACTTTTCAGCCTGGGTGCTGTGAGGAGACCTGGGCAAGAAGTGGGCAGAAGATCCTGGAAGAAGACACCATCATCCCTTCAGAAGTTCAGTCCTGGAACTTCAGGAGCGTCCGATATCAGGCTTCTGAGGATCCCCGAGGACTTTGCAGCCGACTCCATGACTTTTGTAATCGATGGTTCAAAGCAGAAAAGCACACCAAAGCCCAGATGCTGGACCTGGTTGTTCTGGAGCAGTTTCTGGCCCTTCTGCCCATTAAGATGGAAAACTGGGTGCGAGAGTGTGGAGCAGAGACCAGCTCCCAGGCGGTGGCCCTGGTGGAAGGCCTTCTCCTGAGCCAGGCAGGGGAGCAGAAGGAGCAGGTGAGAGACCTTCACCTTGGGAGCCCAGAAGGGTTTGACTGGAATAAAGAATGTGGTTGAATTCTTCACCTCTCCCTTCCAGAGGCCCAAAGGTGCTTTTTTCATGAGGCAACTGGACTTTCTTGTTTTTCATTGAAGATGTTTCGCTTCTCATCCTAGAAGCTTCTTCATCTCTAATGGGATGGTGGGGAATGGAAGGATTTATACTCCTTGCAGACAGCTGGTCATTTGCATTCTTTTAGAGAGTCGTTCAGGCCACTTGGAGGTTTATCTGTATTCTCAGGGTCATCATTGCATATGGTTGTGGAACCTTCTTGGAACTGCTGAAAGGCCTGTGTTGTAGACTGGAGATAGATGATGTTGAATAGCCCTCTCTCAATAGAGGGGGGGGGGGATACGACATCATTTATCTCCAGTCTACAACACAGTCCTTTCAGCAATTCCAAGAAGGGTCTACACCCCTTTGCACTACTCAGCTGGCCCTGAGGACACAGATAAACCTCCAAGTGGCCTCAACGTCTCTAAAACAATGAAAATGACCAGCTGCCTGCAAGAAATATAAATCCTTCCACTCTGCACCATCCAGTCACAGCTGAAGACATTTCTTGGATGAGAAGCAAAATGTCTTCAAAGAGAAAAAAAAGAAAGTCCAGTTGCCTCTTGAAAAAGCACCTTTGGGACAACCATGATCTGAATGACTGAGAATCTCCATAGACATCTCCCTACCAGGTTTCTGGAATTCATAATATGTGGAGATGTTTCATTAATTCTTGTAGGACATTGTTTCATTATAAAAAAAATGATGACAGACATTCCTTTCTTATTTTCCAGCCTCACTGATGAACATTGGAGGCTTTCAAGAATCCACTTTGTATTGTGTAATGTCCACTAATTCTTCTTTTCTCCTGTCTCCTATTTCAAGTCCTTCACAAAGGACATCAGAGTTTCTGAGGGAAGCAGGAATCCATCAAATTCTCCTCAGGAGTTGTTTTTGAGGAGCGTTTCTCTGGAAGATCCAAGTCTGGACACCTTGGGAGGTAATCAAAGGTCCTCAATTCTCCAGAAAGTCCCAAACTCTCTCCTATTCTGTAAAATGATTCTTCCTATGTTATTAATTTTGCTTTTTAAAATTCTGTTTTTCCTCACAGGGAAGACTACAGTGGAGTTGTCTGCTCTGTATGGTGCAGCTGAAACAGTGGTTGAAACTGCAACTCAAGTAAGAGGAGCAAATTCACTAATAAAATAGAATAACAGAGTTGGAAGGGACCTTGTAGGTCTAGGCCAGGGGTGGGAAACTTTGGCTCTTTTATGACTTGTGGACTTCAACTCCCATAATTCATGAGCTAGCATGGCTGTCTCAGGAATTCTGGGAGTTGAAGTCCATGAGTCAAAAAAGAGCCAAGGTTGCCTACCCCTGGTCTAGGCCAATCCCCTGTCTAAGCAGGAGACCCTATACAGTTTCTGACAGATGGCAATCTAGTCTCTTCTTGAAAGTCTCCAGTGATGAAGCTCCCACAACTTCTGAAGGCAATACATTCCATTTGTTTATGTTCTCACTGTCAGAAAAATTCTCCTTATTTCTAGGTTGAATCTCTCCTTGATCCGTTTCCATCTGTTATTCCTTGTCTGGCCTTCAGGTGCTTTGGAGAATAGGTTGACCCCCTCCTCTCTGTGGCAGCCCCTCAAATATCGGAACACTGCTATCATGTCACCCCTGGTCCTTCTCTTCACTAGACTAGCCATGCCCAGTTCCTATAACCATTCTTCATATGTTTGAGCCTCCAGTCCCCTAATCATCTTTGCTGTTCTTCTCTGCACTTTTTCTAGAGTCTCAGCGTCTTTTTTATACTAAGGTGACCAAAACTGGATGCAGTATTCTAGATGTGGTCTTACTAAAGCCTTACTTATTAGATTCAAATTCTCCCTTTCCTTCAGGAAGTCACAATGGTACACAGTGCACTCTCTCCTTCCGTTCTCTAAGAAAAGTGCAGAGGAGAGCAACAAAGATGATTAGAGGTTTGGAGGCTAAACTGTACAATGGATGGTTGTGGAAACTAGATATATCTAGTCTAGCAAAGAAGAGGTTTGGGGTGACATGACAGCAGTTTCCAAAGCAACTGAGAGCAGGACAAAAAGTAACGAATGGAAGATTATCAAGGAGAGAAGCAACCTAGAACTAAGGAGGAATTTCCTGACGGTGAGAATAATCAATCTTTGGAACGGCTTTCCTCCAGAAGCTGTGGATGCTCCATCACTGGAGGTTTTCAAGAAGAGATTAGACAAAAATTTGTCCAGAATGGTATAGGGCCTCCTTCTTGAGCAGAGGGTTGGAACAGAGGACCTCCAAGGCCCCTTCCATCTCTGATGCTCTCTGATTCTATAATTCTTTCTTGTTCTGGCATTTATATTTTTGTATTAGAGAGAGAGAGAGGAGAGAGAGAGAGAGAGAGAGAGGGAGAGGGAGAGGGAGAGAGAGAGAGAGAGATGGTAGATCCATAAGGAAACTAAGATTACTTATTCAGATGATAGTTATAGATGATAGAGAGATGTTAGAGAAATGATAGATAGAGGATGATAGATAGATATAGTTAGACAAACATACGGATAGATGATATATATATAGATGAAACATAATAGCTAGATAGAGAGATAAATAGAGAGAGAGAGTTGGATAGATGTACTCTAGATAGATATAAGAGAGAGAGAGAGAGAGAGAGAGAGAGATCCATAAGGAAACTAGGATTACTTTCCTTGAATGGCACTGAAAGTCTTGCCACATCAATCATCGATTAAACTTGCCTGAACTATTTCTTCACTCAAAGGCTTTTGATCTATTTTTATCACCTAAACCTTGGAATCCTACCAAGCAGAGCCATTCAACTTAGTGCATATCTTTTCTTTGGGAATTTGTACGTAATGGGATAGACATTCCAAATCCTCCCTGACCCTGTTTGGTTCTTTGTTTTCCTTGTTCAGGAGGGTCTGGTGTCCTTCGAGGAGGTGGCTGTGTATTTCTCCAAGGAGGAGTGGTCTCAGCTGGATTCTGACCAAAAAGCGCTCCATCAGGAAGTCATGCTGGAAAATTATAGGAATGTGGCCTCTCTGGGTAAGCAAGTTTGCTATTCGCCCGTCAGAGAGTTTAGTAATTAAATGCCATCCGCTTTTTCTTATTAAAAGGTCTCTAAAGAGATATCATCTCTTGGGAAGAAGCAGAAAGAGATCTAGCCTTTTTCTACTCCGAGGAAATATCTATCTTGCCTGTCTGTTGGTCTGTCTGTCTGTCTGTCTGTCTGTCTGTCTGTCTGTCTCTGTCTGTCTGTCTGTCTGTCTGTCTGTCTGTCTGTCTGTCTGTCTGTCTGTCTGTCTCTCTCTCTCTCTCTCTCTCTCTCTCTCTCTCCCTCCCTCCCTCCCTCCCTCCCTCCATCCATCCATCCATCCATCCATCCATCTATTTATATTTCATGTTTCTAGGCCATCCATCTCCCTCAGCATTCTTTAAGCCACCCAGAGTCACCCTATTGGGAAGATGGTGTGAGGCACATAAATTTAATAAATTAATAAACTACTAAGCAAACATTTCAGTGCATAAAAATATTGAATATCTATCTATCAATCAATGGTGCTCTGCTTAGATGGAACCTGTGCCAATTCTCAGTTGTCAGAGCAGGAACATCCAATGTTAGCATCGTTGACATACTAAGCGAGAGGGTTGTTAAATGAGTTTTGGCTCATTTTACGAGCTTTCTTCCCACAGTTGTTAAGGGAAACACTTGTCAACATCCAGCTCGAGGATCCAAATAAAAATCCCGGTTCATTCCGTTTCCGAAAATCTTACTGTTATATTTTTTTCTTTTTTTCTGCTCCAAGCAGGTGGTGAACGGGAGATGAAGGATTCTGGCCAAGAATCAGCAGCACCATTGCAAAAAGGCAGAACGAAGCATGCAGAGACATTTTTTGGAAAGCAAAATTCTCAGGAAAAACAATTAAAAGGGGAGCTAGAGAAATGCTCCACTTTACCACATGTTGCTGTCAGTGACTTCTCGGGCAAAGATGATCAGCCAGAAAAAGAGGCTTGGCCAGAGTGTGGAAAAGTACCCGCAGACGAATCAGGATTATACGACTGTTGCAGAAGCCACATGATAGAGAAACAAAATGAACGTAGAAAACGTTTCCGAAGGACCTTCTCCGTTACTTTGCCTCAGAGAATACAAGGAGAGAAACCATATAAATGCCTGGATTGCGGAAAAAGCTTCAGAGACTCAAATTATCTTACTTCCCATAAAAAGATCCACACAGGAGAAAAACCGTACAAATTCAGGGTATGTGGAAAGGGCTTCGATTTTCCACAAAACCTCACTTCCCATTTTAAGAGTCACACAGGCGAGAAACCATATGAATGCCCCAAGTGTGGAAAGACCTTCAGTGAAAAATATCAGTATAAAATTCATAACCAAAAGCACACTGGAGAGAAACCATATAAATGTACAGAGTGTGGAAAACGCTTCACTAATTCAAGTTCCTTCACTTACCATAAAAGAATCCACACTGGAGAAAAACCGTATGAATGCAAGGAATGCAGAAAGAGCTTCCGTTGTGCAAAATACCTTACTTACCACACAAGGATTCATACAGGGGAGAAACCATATAAATGCCAGGAGTGTGGAAAGGGCTTCAGAATTTCAACTTCTCTTGCTGCTCACAAAACGATCCACACTGGGGAGAAACCCTACAAATGCAAGAACTGTGCAAAAAGCTTCAGACAAAAATGTCACTATATTGTACATAACAGAATCCACACTGGAGAGAAACCATATAAATGCCCAGAGTGTGGAAAGGGCTTCGCAACTTCAAGTTATCTTACTGCTCACAAAATGATCCACACCGGGGAGAAACCCTACAAATGCAAGAACTGTGCAAAAAGCTTCAGACTAAAAGATGAATATATTGTACATAACAGAATCCACACTGGAGAGAAACCGTATAAATGTACGAAGTGTGGAAAACACTGCACTACTTCAAGTCACCTCAGTTACCATAAAAGAATCCACACCGGGGAAAAACCATATAAATGCCCGGAGTGTGGAAAGGACTTCACAACGTCAAGTTCTCTTACTGCTCATAGAATGATCCACACCGGGGAAAAACCCTACAAATGCAAGAACTGTGCAAAAAGCTTCAGTCAAAAATATCAGTATACTGTACATAACAGAATCCACACTGGGGAAAAACCGTATAAATGCCCGGAGTGTGGAAGATGTTTCACAACGTCAAGTTCCCTCACTTCCCATCAAAGGAGCCACACTGGAGAGAAACCATATAAATGCTCGGAGTGTGGAAGATGTTTCACTTCATCAAGTTCCCTCACTTCCCATCAATGGACCCACACTAGGAAAAATCGTACATTTGTCTGGAGTGTGGAAAGGGGTGAACTCAACGCCAGTCCCTTTATGAGCACAGAAAAGAACCGTATAAACAAATTATTAGAAATTTGGGACTTTTGAGCTATTTATTACTGTGGAGAAATGAAATGTTAGGGAATGAAGGGAAGATAAGAAGGAACGACGATTCTGAAGAGAGTGGAGAAAAATAACTACAATTGGTTTTTTTGAATAATGTTGAGCATTTGTCCATACAGAGCCCCAAATATACTTTTTCTTGGAAGACCCACTTTGGAACCCTTTGCTTTTTGCATCTCTCAATTTATTGGCCACTAGAAGCACCTAACATAGTTATATAACAATGACTCTGGCCTTTGACTTTGCTCTTTTTGCCCCTTAATTTACATCTCCATCATTGAACATTAATTACAAGGGGGGTCAACACTTTCATTTCTGCAATAGTGGCGAATATCTGTAGCTCGGGTGTAGGATGAGGGGAAGGTTTGTTTTCCGATCTTGTGGGTTGGTTTCCGAACATTTTGTTACCAGGCTAGGTAACATCTTTAGCGGAGTTTAGAGGATGTCAGGGTTAAGTGTTTATAAGGGCTTCACATGTGGGTGTGTCAAGAGAGGGTCAAAGAAGAGCAGGTAAGATGATCATAGACCTGGAGACTAAAACATGAAGAACGGCTGCAGGACTCGGGTTTTGCTAGTCTAAAGAAAAGAAATAGGGGAGACATGATAGCAATATTCCAGTATTTGAGAGGCTGCCATAAAGAAGAGTGGGTCAAATTATTCTCCAAAGCACCAGAGGCAAGACAAGAAACAATGGTTGGAAACTGATCAAAGGGAGAAGCAACCTGGAATTTAGGAGAAAGTTCCTAACAGTGTGGCCAATTAACCAGTGGAACAGCTTGCCTTCAGAAATCGTGGGCGCTCCATCACTGAAGGTTTTTAAGAAGAGACTGGACAGTCACTTGTCTGAGATGGTATAGATTCTCCTACTTGAATGGGGAAGCTGGGCTAGAAGACCTCCAAAGTCCCCTCCAGAGTCTATTCTATTCCCTTCCGTTCTATTCTACTCTACTCTATTCTTGTGATGGGTCTTATGATGGGTCAGGTGTGAGTCATCAGTGAGAGGCTTCTGATGGGTCTTGTGATGGGGAGCAATTCCATCAACAGGCACATTGACCTACAACCAGCCTATGAACTCCTCAGAATCCAAATCAACCTGGAATAAGATTAAAAAATGGCTGGAAAAAATGTTAAAGTTAGTGGTAGAGTTAAAACCAGAACTCTTTTTACTAGGCATAACCATGCAGAAATACAACAAAGGCCTTTTTTACTAGATGTTACACATTCTCACGGCTGCTAGATTGGTGTATGCTCAAAACTGGAGAAATAAAGGAATTCCAACAGAAGAAGAGATTATATATAAAATTTTATCGTGTGCTGAAATGGATAGGCTCACAATGGAAATGAAGGATAAGACAGAATCAGACTATTTCGAGATCTGGGACAAATTTTATCACTGGTGTATAAAGGAGAACTGCTCGGGTTTTAAATTAGCGTTAAGATAGAATTATATATAACTGTATATATAATTGTATAGAAGAATATGTTTATATAGAGATCAAGAATTATGTATTAATTATATGTATCAAGAGGAACAAATTGTTAGGAATATTTATTTTGGAATGTCACGTTATGTCCATCTTTGTTTTTAACTGTATTATAAATAAAAAACTTTAAAAAAAAAATCCAAATCAACCACACAGCCAACCGGAGAGAGCACCGACCTTCAACTCATGTAAGCCCCCCAGACGTTCACCTCCCAATGACCTTGACCTGATGTAACCTCCCCATCTGAAAGCTCATCACAAGACCCTCTCTTGACACACCCACACCTGAAGCCCTTATAAACAAGAACACTTTACACTGACATCCTCTAAACTCCGTTAAAGATGTTACCTAGCCTGGTAATGAAATGTTCAGAAACCAACCCACAAGCTAAGAGAAAGAGCTTCACCCTCACTTTCAGTTCTCTTTTATTTAGTCTTCTGGCTTCCTCAACTCTTGGGATGATAAAAAACACCATGCCAGGTTTAAGCCAAGGATGGGCAATCTCAGCTTTGCTGTCATCATGCAATTTCTTCAATAAAGGTCTTGGTTTTCATTCTTTTAAGGATGAGTCTCCAGAATTGTTTTTATATAAAGTTTCAGTCTCGTAGCTTCATTCTTCCTTTTTTAAACGCACCTTTTACCTATGCAGCCAAGGACAGGAATCCGGACAATATTCCAGAGTTACAATGTCCAAGATCAAAGGTTTTCTTCCTTATATCCCCAGTAATTTTCCCCACCTAATGATAAAACCATGGTTGAATCGGGGGTTTGGGTTGAAGTCCAGCCACATAGGTCCTTAGGAATTCCATCCAACACATAGATTCTCTGATTTAGAAGGGGGTTTGAACCATTAGGGATTGATCCAGTGTAAGTTTTTCTCGGAAGAGAAATCATCTTGTGATGAAAGTTGGCTGATTACTTGGCTCAGCTGGCCGTGGGTGCCGAGGAAATCCCTCTCTTTAAAAAGGCATCAGAACTGGAGCTGAATACCCACTCCTGTTTTTCCTACAACAAACAGCCTGTGAGTGGTTTACCAAAAGAGAAGGACAGGCCAAAAGTCACCCAGCTGACTTCCATGCCTAAGGGCAGAGTGTCCCAGCCTTTCGGCATTGGCAGCCTGGAATGGGTGTGAGGGGACGGTTTTGTGGGAGGTGTTAGCCCGTGTGCTCATGCATGAACGCCCGCAATGTTTGCAGCAATGCTCGCGTGAGTGGAGCCATGTACGCTCATGACACTCGCACGACTGGGTCTGCTAATGCGCAAGTAGGGCCGCAAACGCCTGTGATGCTTATGCGAGTGGGGCCACAAACGCCCACAATGCTCACTCAAATGCAGCCACAAATGCCCAGGATGACTCCCACAGGAGTGAGGCTACAAATGCCCGTGGCAAGGCTCACACGAGTAGGGCCGTGAACATCCATGACACTCACAACACTGGTCACGCGACTGGGGCTGTGTGAAAGCATGAAATGGTGTTGGGTCTCCATGGTGTGTACGTGTGTGTGTGGGGGGGGTTGGACCAGATGACCTACAAGGTCCCTTCCAACTCTGTTATTCTATGTCTTATTCTATGTTTCGTCCCTTTGTAGCAGCCTCTATAAAAAAAGAGAAAAGAAAGGAGGGCAAGAAGACGCTTTTGGAGAAGACATGACAGCCTCTCACGGAAATTGCAGCCTTTCTCCTCTCTTTGCCTTGAGCACCTGCGTTGCACAAGGTATCCACCAGGGGGCTCCCTCTGCCAAGCGAAGGGAACACAGGACGCTTCACCATTGAGCGGCTGGAGGACGAAGGCCACAGCTGGCTTTCCGGAGGAGGAGGAGAGAAGGGAATGACGTCACAGAGCTTTGCCTCTCTAGGATGCTGCACTCTCTCTCCATCACAGTCTGAGCTTTGCTGCAGGTAAAAGAAAAAAAAAGGCGGGGGGACTGTCTTGCAGGGGAGGCAGGCAGATGTGGCCCTAGGGGAGGAAGGGGGGGTCTCTCTTCCATTGCAAAGGGAGGCGGAGGGTCCTCATCCTGGAGGAGGGAGGGACACATGCCAAGTCCTCATGCAAGTTCAGTCTTCTGAGTCCCAAGAGTGGGAGAGACCAAATCCCATGTTCCCCTGCTCCCCCCCCCTTTTCCATGCACACAACAGACACGTGGGGGGGGAAGCAGAGGACCAAACCAGCCTTGTTGCCTCCTCCCCGACGGAACTCAGGATTCCCAGGAAAGAGGTGGGGAGTGGGGAACTCCTTCCCGCCTGGTTTTCTGGGAACAGCTGGGGGGGGATGAAGGGGGTAGAAGAAGGAAGATCTCAAGCAAGAGATAAGAAAAGCCTTGCAAGACAGGAGATGCCCCAGATGGGTCCAGATTCGCACTAGGTGCTGGATGAGGCTCAAAAGAGAGCCAAATCCTTCACAATGGAACCTGTCTTGGGAGGGGGAGTGAAGCAGGACAGTATCTCCAGACCCTGTTTGGGGGGGGGGGGAACGTGGCTCCTACCATTGACTGACCCTTTTGGGCTTCAGGGCATGTTGTGTGGACATGCCTGCCTGTAAGAGTCTAGCTTGGCGCTCCAAAAGTCAGTCTTGAACAAGGGTAATGGAGCATCCTAAGCCAGGGTCATGTTCTTGTATTTCTTTTCAGGTGAACAGAGATTTTCTGGTTGGAGTGTTGACATGTTGCGTGAACCCGCTTGGAGGTCAATGTAGATTTAGTTTTTAAAAAGCAAGAGCTTACTTGTGAAAAAAAAACAGAAATAGAAAATGCTCCAAATACATTAATTCAGCAAGAATAGAGTAGAGTAGAGTAGAGTAGAGTAGAGTAGAGTAGAGTAGAACAGAATAGAATAGAATAGAATAGAATAGAATAGAATAGAATAGAATAGAATAGAATAGAATAGAATAGAATAGAATAGAATAGAGTTGGAAGGGACCTTGGAGGTCTTCTAGTCCAATCCTCTGCTCAGGCAAGAAACCTATACCATTTCAGACAAATGATCGTCCAGTCTCTTCTTAAATTGTTCCACTGTTGGAGCATTCACAACTTCTGGAAGCAAGTTATTCCATTGATTAATTGTTCTAACTGTGAGGTATCTCTCGGCTAAATTATCTCTCTGCTAAAAGTATCTCGGCTAAAGAGGGCTGAACCTCTAACTATCACCATAGCTGCAACAAGAGAAACAGTCCTTCTTGGAGATTCACATAAGAGTCCTTGGACCCATTTGGGGTTGCGTTACAGAACAGAGAAAGAATGGAGACCCAACCTTTAGCAAGTGAGGGAACTGGAAAAGGCCTTTCAACTGTTCAGCCTGGGCGCTGTGAAGAGACCTGGGCAAGAAGTGGGCAGAAGATCCTGGAAGAAGACACCATCATCCCTTCAGAAGTTCAGTCCTGGAA